TAAAAGTCACATGGATGTATATGAAAAATGTACATTCTGCAAAAGAGTTTCACTTTTCTATGAAAACACAAGGTGATTGACTGTTCACAAATAAAAAAATGAAATTGTCTGGGTTCCATGAGATTACGAAGCCTCTACACTTTCTTTTTACCATTAGTATCTCACATCCACTGAAGCACACATTCTGTTTTCTCTCACTCCCGCTGTGAACCTCCTGCCAGAGCACCAGTTTATCGTCTCCCCCGTCCCCTGCCTCTCCCCCACGTCCTCCTCGTCCTCTCCCCCTACCACCCACGACCCCCTCGCATACCTGAAATATACATATAAGAATTAAAAAACTGTTAAGCACTGTTAAAACAAGGAATATCCTCATTTTGTACTAGTAGACTAAACTCTTGTCTGCAGTATATATAATAAAATTTTTAATAATCATTAACAAAGGATCACTTCATTATAAATAGGGATTTGACCTATAGGACCGGGCTTGGTTTTATTCTCTACAAAAAGCTTGTCGATTTCCGTTCTGATTAATGACATTAGGCTGAATACATATAACAATTTGTTTTTCCTAAATCTTTATTTCAGTGAGCACTCTTGATATAAGAAACACTAAAGAGATATCAAATCGTAACAATCCAATGTAAAATGTAATAATTGATATTTGTCTTTACTTCTCATTGTGCATAAAGGTAATGTCTATTGTCTCTGAAATTCTATTCTTTATGTCAAGGCTATTTGTCCGTGGATACAATAAAAACTTGTCATCAATGTGTGCAAATTATAAAGGCCTAAATGAAATCCAAGGGAGTGCATTTACTGAAATATGTAGCCAAAATCAATTGATTAAATTCTAAGGAATATATACGGTTGAAATTCCTCGCAGCTCAATGCTGCCAAGAATACCCGTATTGAGTAACACACAGCGAGTTATTCTTGTCCTCGGAGAAAGTGTGGATTCTGAGGTTTGTTCCGCGTGATTGACAACTTTACATTGGATTGTTACGATTTGATATCACTTTAGTGTTTTTTATATCAAGAATGGACATGCATAAGGGATAGAAAATTGAAGGAAAAATACATAAAAAGTGTATAAAAAATTAAAATAGTCTTTGAAAAGGCGAAATTTAAAACTTTATAAGTGTTGTACCACGTAAATTCGAACCCCCGACTTTAAAAAAAGATAGTGTCCAAGGTATAAAAGTCAGCGCGTTTATCAACTGAGCTAGTCTGTCTATAAGAATAAAAGGCATAAATTTAAAGCAGATTATGAAAATCTGGTTTCCTTATTTTTTGTAGTTTTTTGTGAATTTCAACCCCGCGCGGGTGCCCCTAAAAAAAATCTTATCTTAAATTATTCCGTACATCCTAACCTATCAAAATATCACAATTTTATTTAGGGGCAGCCTGCCCTGATGGACTTCGGAGAAAGCACAAATTTAATTAAGAGAAAAATCAACGCTTTAAAGGACAAAATGGTGTTTCGATCAACATTGGAGCTTTTTTGTAAAGTTGTAAATAATAAATTTTAGGTATAAAATACAAATTTTTAAAAATTTAGACATATATACGGTAGAAAACAACAAATAAAGATTGATTTTTAAATGTCACTTTTTCCGGGAAATTGTTCTCTCCTATAGGTCAATTCTTTTGTTAAAGCGAATACATCCTTTAAGAGTCATAAAACTCATAAAAACAACTGCAATACATGTATATTTTCATCATGTGAACATTTCTATGATAAATTCTCATAGGTTGCATGACATATTTTAATACATATAAATCATAACAAATAGGGATGTGCGATTTTCTTCGGTATATCGCTATTTTGTATTGTGCGATACGTATCGTGATACAGAGACTTAAATACCGGTATTTAGGTACATATTATAAAGTCAAGAAATCATTCATTTATTTGTTCAATCTTTCAAATTACAATTACAGAAAGACTTAAAAAAGTCGTAAAAGGTGAAAAGACGGCATCTTACCATCCAAACATTAGTTTTATGTACATAAAAATTTCGAAAAGTGAAATTTTGTTTTTCCAGCATATTTTTAAGAAAAATAATGAATATTCATTTAAAATCATTGTAAAAATTGCTTGTAAAAATATCATGATATTATTGTAATATTTTGGGAAAAAATTGTGATATATCGCGATACGATTTTTTTGGCGATACCCATCCATAATAACAAATTATTTTCTACATTTTTTTATTTGTATATGCATCACATGAACTGAATTTTTTGTTTCTTATATTTGGACTGCTTTTCTTAAAATTCGAACTTATTTTTTTCTCTCTATATATTCTAATTTGGGGAGGGTTTTAGGCTTTCTTTTCAGAGTTTAACATATGTACATTATATTATTTATCCCTACTTTAAATGCATTATTTTCAGTTTTTCTGCTCAATTTGAAAAACAAGTGTCATCATGGCCCTTGGAAACTTATAAACTATTTGTATTCAGATAGAATTTTTGAAGTTCTAAAAATATCCTGGTTTTGCTTTCATTTGTTATATTGTCTGTGCTTCCTTACATTAAAATCTGATGCTAAGAGAATTCAAACATTCAACAGTTAAAAATAAACTGTATCTTTTTTTTAATTTACAAATTTTTACCAATACTGCCATTTGGGTCTCTATGAGTATGTCTTTCAAATGGCAACATCTGAAAGTTGAGCTTTCTTCAACCTTTTATTATCCTACTCAGCCTTTCTGAAAAAACCAAACTGAAAAAAGCTTACCACCATCTCTTCCTTTCTTCATCTTTGCCTTTGGAGTGTCATCAATTAGTAATGTATCTAACGGTAGACTGTCTGGTAGAATGTAATATCGAATGTTGTTACCACGTATGCTGAGCGTGTCGACTTGTACTGGATCTTTGTTCTTGATGGTCATTTTAACTGCCTTCAGGTGGGTGTTCATACAAACATCAACACCTACACATATAAATATGAAAAATAAAATTTCTAATTTTTTATACAAGGAGCATGCAAAAATTGTACTACAGCATTTTTTTACAGCCATGTGCACAAGAAAAACACATCAAAAGCATTTTAAAGAAACATTCAACAGTACCCAAAGGCTTAGTTTTAGGACGATTTTCTTATTGTCTTCATAATTGTGTTTTCTTTCACGACTGTCTGAACATAATTCATATTATTAAATTTGAGGGGAAAAAGTATCAGTTTTTAAACCAGACATACTCGGCACGGAGCTTACTAAATGATACCCTGCACTGCCCGGTGGAAAGGAGAATTTGCAGATATGAGATTGTATCTCCAATGTTACAGAAAGAATGGCTATGTTGATGTTCTGCAATGGAAAACCCCAAAAATCTGTCTAATCATGAAAAATAAGTGTGCACTACATATGAGTGAAAGATTCTTATTTTTCAAAGTCTTGTTGAATTTTATTCAGTGGTACAGTTTAGGAGTTGCTGCCCATGTTATAGAAAGAATGGCAGTGTCCATGTTTTGTCATGGGAAAGTGAATAGCCGTCTGATCAAACAATAATGGGGTTATGAAATATTCTGTTGAGCTCTCAATAAATTTAATTCAGCCATATAGGAATTGCAGATATGAAAGGGGTCTATAATGTTTGATTTAACCTCCCCATTATTCTAGCACTCGGGGATAAGGGACCCCCAAGTGATATTCTGTACAGGTCAGCTTATTTTTAACAGACTGGGAACTTCCATTTTTTCTATAGGTGATACACAACATATTCAGATATAGAACAAATTCACATTAAAACCAAATGCATCATCTTGAGAACAACCCCAGGTCCCTCTGAAAAAATCCTTATGTTTACATATATACTGTAGTTTAACAAAAATATGTATTGAGTTTCACAGTGCTAAAGTGCTACATTATGTTAACTAAACCCTGGACTCTTACCTGTGACTGTTCCATGCACTTGTGTACCATTCTTGAGCTCAATCGTTACTGTCTCATGGCTCAATTTCATCAAAAATCTGTAAATAAGTTTGAAATTCTATTAACAGCTTCAATGTCATCCCAGTCACAATCAGTTCATCATAACTTTACTTTACATAACCTTGTGTGTTCATTTTCTTCAAGCCAAACATTTGGTAAAAACATGCAGGATCGACACAAACCACATGCTTAACGGTTGTCCGATTGCCCGGGACAGAGGGATTTTCACTACCCCATGTAGAGCCGATTATGGGCCCCAATCCCAATTGCAAATTCCTTCCATTTTTCCCAAAAATGAACACCAGGTGTTCAATTTTTGAATGCACAAAAACTCCACAAAGGTAACTTGATTAAAATTCAAGTAAAACAAACATGGTCAGGTTTGAAATCTGAATGAAAAAAGTTGAGGAAATTTGACTAAAACTTCATAATAATTGATCTATTCTCTGAATTATAGTTCTGAATAATGAAGTGAAAGTCAATTTTATTCATTATAGTTTTATTTCTTGAAAATATCATGCAAAAAAAATTCCCCAAAAGTGATAAAATGTCTTTAAATTCCCAGTTGTAAGGGCCTGGGCCCCATTCCCAAAATGGTGTGGAAAATCCCTGGACAAGTAAATTCTCAATTCAGGCAAGTGAAACCATCAATGTACTTCTCCGATCAGGCAAGTGGACATTTCTCATAGAAACACTCTTTTAATTCTTACATTAGTTTATATAAAGCAAAACAATAAATAGAACACTTGATTTCCGCTCAGAACTGGACATTGTTTTTGCATTTGGAATCCCTTAGTAGCGTTTCTGGATTATACCTTCTTTCAGAAATCGGTTTCCGATTCGTTATTCTGTTTTTTCCCTTAGTTTACAAAAATACACTCTCCGTCTGACAATTTATGTTAGGCTATCTAAATTTAATTCCTTGGTTCTCAGGCCAATTTTCTCCAAAACAGATGCGGGAGGGCGGCATTTTATTTTTCATTTTATTGGCAATAAAGTAGATGAGGGAGGTTTTTTTTTTAATTTTAATTTCCGAATTTTCTTTAACATAAAGATAATTTTTTTAATCACAGATATACTTTCCATTTCTGGTCAAATTCTCTGCCTTATCCATTGCTTAACAGCGTGTAAACATCGTAGGTAATGTCCTCAAATGTATTTTCAAACGAAGTAGCCAAAATCTCATTGTACATGGCTACCGGAAGTGGTATTTGAAAACTAAACTACGAAACAAATGAGGGCGGAATTTTTTTTCCCGGATTGGCCTCCGCAATACCCACTTTTTATTTTTTAAAAATTACAATAAAATCGGCAATGCGGCTACCTCAAAATGGATGCGCGCGGGCCTGAGAACCAAGACTTCAATTTTATATAGCCTTACATTCTTATTATAGGAATAGGTTATTTATTCACTTACAGAATATAAAGAACACCAATTATTCTCGGTGCACGTATCTTGATTCAAAACATGACAACTGTTTTCCTTTCAGCACGCCTCAATTTTTTAGGGGGAAAAAATCGTAGGAAAATAATATTCCTGCATTGCTGTGTGTGTTTTCAGGATAATAATGACAGGACAATGGTTAACATATTCATATTTGTAGCATTACCGCCATATCAACATTTTCCCTGGCAGTTAAGTTCAAAATAGATATTAATTTGTCACTCTTTAATATTTACAAAAAATTTAGATACAGCTACTGAGTTTTCTTCTTTAGAAATTTTGGACAACCAAGTTTTACCTTCGGACAAGTCAAAATTGTAGTTCACTTGCCCAAAGGGGAAGTGAATATAAAGGTTAATGTTTATCCCTAATATGAGAGAATTGTTAACAGATCAACTGAACATAATCATGCCATTTTTGTCCTTTCATCATAAGTAATGCTATTTTGAAGGGCAAATTGATAAGTAAACATTCTGTGAAATTTAAGTTAGTAGATTTGATAATTCAATGCATTCTCTTAAAACATTCAATTTTAAGTCACAATATTATATTTCAAAGAAACTATATATAAAGTTAATATATTTTCTTCAAAAGAGCATTTCCGCAGTTATATATATCCTGAAACAGTCAGCCATCAGCTCTTCCATTTTCATCACCACGGGACCTATATACTTTGAATAATGATTAAACATATATGCACAGAGGTCCCTGGCCACAGTCTATATCAAGCTCTTCATAGTCTGAAAATTTTCATCACCTAACAGTTTATAAAATTTTCATTTCCACGTTAAATCTAGTGAACATAATAAAGCTTTCCAATAATGACTAAACATAAAGAAAATAACTTGAAATTATAATATACACAGTATAATAAAACACTTATCCATGATGCATAGCTCTTTTCTTGACAGAGCAAGCCCTCACTGTATAGTTAGTAAAGTATGCCAGGAGCATTAACGATAGCTGGAAACGTTGGTTAATTTGCCCACTTTCCAACTATCGTTGATGTCCCTTTTCGGATTAGACCTTAAAAACCAAGACTCCGTGTGGACCGTGTCACAGTAAATGTTGGCAGGATTACATATCCAGACTGCCCAATGAATAAGCCCATCACTGGTTTTATATTATAGGATTTCTCTAAATGGGTGAAAAATCTCGTATCAGGAAAAATCAACATACAATGAACAAGTCCATTAATGGCATCATGCACTGAATCAATCCATTTTTCATCAAAACCTTGCTTGGCAATCTCCCTAAGAGTATCGTAGATCTTTATCTCAAGCAAGAAGAAAAATATGCCACAGTAAAGATGACCATAATCGAGGGTTTTTCGCATATAGTGACCATATGTAGTAGTCCATTCCAGTGTCAGACCAGTTTTCTTTTTAAAATTCACTGCAATTGTGCATTCTAAACAGGCATTCAGTTTTCACACATAAACATAATCAAGCTTAATCATGTTTACTAATTAATTGGAAAAAATCCTTATGTCCACTGTTACTCTGAAACTTGGAAAAATATCCAAGAACGCTATTGTTTACATTTTTGCCGGCAAAATATATGCACAGACACCCAAATAAAACATTATAACGACAATTAATACGCAGTGTCAATGATGCAAAAATAATAAATAATCTACATATCAACAATTTGTGTTAAACAATACCTTATAAGTTTCATGATTAATGTGGATTGTTTGATCCACTAAACAAAAATTCAGGGATGGCGGTTTCGTTCTGCGAACGCTTCGTCAATGTTAACGAGACGCTTTAAAACTTGGTTAAACTAAAAGACGAAAAATTGACTATGATGGGTAATTGCACCATTTTTTATGGGGGTTTTTCCACAACCACTTTTTTTACTCCGACAATTTTGCAAAATCTCCCTATTTTAATAAAAATACAATCCCAATGGCATCGAGATATGTTTACCTGTTATTCTATGCAATGTACAGTGTACTATTATATTTCAAAAGAGAGACAACTCTTTAAAGCTTGAGGTGTTTGATCAAATTCACCTTATTTTGCGTAATTAAAAAAAACAAAAAACAAACAAACAAACAAATAATAAAAAATATATGTTATATTTTTTTGCAATTTTCTACAAAAGACTTCTTAGAGGATTTTTTTTTTATAATGAAAGATACAACCGCGAAAAAAATTCTTTATATATGTACCTCATTTATAAAGTTAGGGTTGCTTCAAGACTAAGATTTTTTTTAATGTGCATAAACCGTTTATTAAACACAGCAAGTTAGAAAACATAATTAAATACGTATATTTTTCTTTGTAAGCTAGAAATCGGGGGGGGGGGGGGGGGGGGTTGGTTATATTTTTATTTATACATTGTAATAATGTCGCACTAACGTTATTTTCATTAAGCGCATTAGGGCAAATGTAAGCAAAAAAAAGTACTATGTTGACGCACATGTTGGAGTACAGTGTAACTGCAGAACTGTAGCTCTCTACTTGAGAAAATTCGAACTTTCTCAAGCAAAGAGCTACAGTTCTGCAGCTAATGTTTGAGATATCGGTGGAATAGCGCTTGAAGGAAAGAGCGCTCACTGGTTTTACAATAAACTAAACATGTATAAATGTCTACATGGATGCTCCGAAGAGTGTATATTAGTAACGCAAAATGAACATTTATATTACTGTATGGGAAAAATCATGAATAATTTCTTTAAAATTGAAGTCTAAAAGAGGGATAAAGGTGATAAATTCTCACCAAATTAATATGTACATGTATTAAGTTTATAACCTTACATGCTAATATCGATCTTAAATGGTTTCTTTAAATCTAAGCAAAATGTAAATTAAAGACAATTGAGGTCAAGGTCACAGAAAAGTGCAAGGTCAAAACTTTTTGATACAGTTGAAGAGCACTCACTTATATATGTATCAGCATACTAAGTTTGATGAAATATCTCGAACTCTTTCTGTAAAAATTTAACCAAACACTAAATAAGAAAAGTGAGGTCAAGGTCAAAGAAAAGGTAAAATGTTGATGCAGTTGAAAATTTTTTTATTTAGTATGTATTAGTACTGTATATGAAGTTTGATAAAAATAGCATTTAATAGTTCGTGCGTCTGTCTTTGTGTCTGACGGTAAGAAGGCATAATATGCACGTGCTAGTACATGTAAATCTCGTGCGGCTGCCTTTGTTTGACGTCATTGGCGGGGACTATTGAAATTGACATGAGAGGCTTCGTGTAATATAAATCTATTGGTCAACATTTTTAGAATCCAAATTTACAATTTTATTTCACAATGAAATAGAAATACATGTATAAGAAATCACTGTCTAATTAGTAGAGTATGCCAGAGACATCAACGATACCAGTAATTGGAAACATGGGATAATTTATGCATAACAGCCGTTATGCAAATTATCCTACGTTTCTAACTTTCGTTGATGCCTTGGCATACTCTTCTAACTAGACAGTGATTCCTTAAATCATTAAAAAGTCCTGAACTTTTGACGTTTATATAGATTGTGACATACATATGCATAACCTTTGTCTTTGAGTTGCCATACACAGGCATTAAATTGATCAGCGTTCAGAAACACATCTTGTTCTTCATGCATATACTAGTATTAATTTTATTTACTTACCTAATAATTCAAGGACCAAATTGGCCGCCATAAGCTATCAGTACTCCTTCTGTATGTCACGTAACTTATAGAGAAATATATGTATGTCTGTTTTTTTGTTTTTGATCTATTTAAATGATTTATAATTACGACATTCTGTGATGTTTTTACCTGAATAAAACAAAAATGTCTGGTGATAAGCAGTCTTCTTAATGAATAGCAACAGCATTTACCCATGGCAGGTTAAAAAAACAACAACGTATATTTAGGCACTTCAGTGTATTTTGAAAAGTACCCCGGTACTTCAAAGATCCAAGAGTACCCAGCTACATTTATTTTACTAAAGTCCTTTATGGAACCGATATATGATCAAAAAATCAAATCCCCATGCACTTCTAACAGTTCTCAAAATACAATGTACATGTATATGACAGTTGGACAGACAGAAACAATACACTCAAAGACAATCAAGACCTTTTTACAGTATTTAATTTCTGCTTTAGATTAACAGACATGTTTTTTAAACAAATAACCAAAATGGAACAGAATAAAAGAGCTGCGACCTTCGTCATTTTAATTTTTTTTTTTAGAAAATATGAAAACCTCAAATTACATGTATGTCAACCTTAATTATATTTTTATTGTAATTTTTATCATAATTATACATGTAAGGATCGTTTACTTATTGAAGCCTATAAATAACAAAAATAACAGGCCTACATTGTTAGCATGTTAAGTTTCACTGTTTGGAACCACACTCATATTCTTTTTATTGTTCTTTTGCGCGGACCAAACTAAACGAAAAAATCTTCAAAATTAAAAGAAAAGCCATCAAATTTTGAATTGAAAAAAAATTGTAATAAGAATCATTTATTGAACTAGAAAGAATTTCATAATGAAACTTTTCATTTTCCTCTTAGTTTAACTTATCATTATACAAATAATGGACATTTTGTACACGTATTTTATTCACTTGAAAGCCAATCTTCACATTTTGTTTCCCTCTCAATAATATAGACTTGGATGAACTTTCATATCAGAAACACTCAGAGCAAGTCTATTTCAGGAACTCCAATTGCACCGACTATCTTGGAATGTACCTTTCTGGTCCCGGCTCACCATCGAATGAGATCAAACTGTTAGTTTTTTACTGGTCACGTGACAAAGAAATATAAAATAAGAAGTCCAACGGTAATTGTCATTGTGTTAGCAACGTAACTTGAAGAAGTTGAGGAACTTTCATCATTGATTTGTTTAGAATGGTAAGCTGTAAAAATTAAATAAACTAAATTTAAGAATCAAAATTCAAATTCAAATATTCACTGCAAGAAAAATTGAAAATGCTCTCAAGTTTTTTTTTTTTTTTTTTTTTTTGAGACTTTAAATATTTGAGGTAAAAGTTACCACTCAAATCATATATATTACAAAAATCTAAGTTATCAATGCAGGAAAAAATAAAGAATGATGTATACACTCTTTTATGAAATAAGGTAGTATTGTAATCTTACCACACCACTTTTCATCTGAGTCGTCATAACAGTCACTGATTCTGTCACAAACACGTGACATTGGCAAGCAATCATATTTGTTCCCGCCACATTTAAAATTTCCCGCGCATGGATCATTTGTGGATGAATCTAAGAGAAATTAAATCTGGCATTTTATTTGAGTATAGATTGCTCAGAATTTATAAGATATGAGTGAATCAAGTGAAAAGACAGAAGAAAATGATTTAATACTCTTATAATTGCATAACTTTTATAGGAAGGCTACACCAAGTATATTTAAAATGTAAAACGGAGGTGAATTAAACCAACATCACTATAATATCACCAATCAAATATATAATGACTTGTTACCTGAAAGTTTCCACCTTATTCCTAGTTTCCATATTTCTGAAGCATAGAAAATATTCAGATTAAATTTTAAGCAAGACATAAAAAAAGAACATAAGAATATACTAGACTGTTGCATTATTTTATTTTAAAAGAATGAAAAGGCTAAAATCATCGTCGCAAACCACGATCAAAATGTACGATCCTCTCCCACTCTGTATAGGAGAGAGCTATATGCGGACTCCGAACCGTGGCTTGAGACGATGGGCTAAAATAACATTCTCAGCAAATAAATTTAAAAGATGAATATATTTTACCTTCGTATTGACACATTTTGTCAGGACTTTCGTCTGAATTATCTCCACAGTGATCAACAGAATCGCATCTCAGGGACTTATCGATACACCACAGATTTTTACACAAATAGTCACCACGTCTAGGACACCCGGCTACAATTTGATTAAAAAACATACAATATGAAAAAAAATGTGAACTCACTCGAGAAGTCAATATGTGGCAGTGCTTTGCACTAGGGATGTGAGATTTTATCGGTATACCGGTATATCGCGATTTTTTGTTGTGTGATACGTATTGTGATACGGAGATCTAAATACCGGTCTTTAGGTACATATTACAAAATCCAGAAATTATTCATTTATTTGTTCAATCTTTCAAATTACAATTACAGAAAGTGTAAAAAATGTTGTAAAAAGTGAAAAGAACGGCATCTTACCGTCCAAACATTACTGATTTTATATACATAAAAATTTCAAGAAAGTAAAATGTTGTTTTTCTAGCAGATAATTTAGAAAAATAAAGACTTTTCATATAAAATCATTGTAAATACTGCTTTTGAAAATATCATGATATTATCGTGATATTGTGGGGAAAAATCGTGATTTATTGCGATACGAAATTTTTGGCGATACCCATCCTACTTTGCACATATCACTCGCTTTCTTTGTGTTTCTTCGCTTGAAAAAGGTTACATTTTTCACAAGAATCTGACTGCTGTAAAAACACATTTAATCTTCATAGTAAGGAACAATAAAACTAGAATTATTAAGCCTTAAAAAATTAAAAAAAATCTGTGATTCATCTCTATATCAATTTTATTTGTTATTGAAATAAATTTAAACAACATACCCTCTGTTATATTATCCACAGCTGTATAAATGAAGTTCAGTTGGTCTTCGGCTGACAATGCCCCCCGCAGTCTTATGTACACACTGGAACCTGGACTGAACCAATGACCAATGGTCATATTCGTGGCGGAATATCTGCCCAGTAATTCACCCCTAGATGTTGTGCCACTTATAATCTCTAAACTATTGCCAGGATACTCTGCCCATCCTTAATATAACAAAACAAATCGAAATTAACTCAGATATGCTTATTTACATGTAGAAACCGGCGAAACACATTAAAGTAAATACACAATTAGTTTGATAATGAAATACATGTGAACTGAATGAATTGAAATTCAGAAAAATTACCTTGACCAAATACGATTTCCGTTAATCTTAAAAGGATGCCATCTGGATTTTTCTTGGCTGGTTTTCTGATGATCCAGATGCAGTCAAACATGCCGGGTAAACGTGGGGTCAGGTAATCCAGATTAATAACACCTCCTGATTTATATTCCATAATTTTGCTACAATCTGTCAGAAAGTTTTCAGTTCATTAGTTTGTGTATTTCTCAAAATAATGTTCAAAAATGAAAATTTGCTATCCATAACATGAACTTTTTTCGGACCAGAAAGGTAACCATTCCCTGATTCATTAATATGAACTTTACATTTAAATTAAGGATTTTACAGAAATAATAGGGAGAAGGATTGAGGTAGTAGAAATAAGCTTTAGAATTTAAAAATTTAAAATATGACAAGACGTTTGTCTTATTGAAAATTTAAAATATTCCACATTTTCGGGGGTAGAGAACCTTAACTGCATTCACATTTCGTCTTTTTACTTTCACGCACTTGTACTTGGCATCGTGTTCCATTGACTACTGGAAACAAACTGATAGCTAGCCTTCCACCCCACTGGGTGGCAGCACCGATGACTGGAACTTCCGGTGTTAAAAACGAGGATAATTGTGCTCGATTTGGAAACCAGCACCGGTCGCTCATGCCGGGTATAAACCTTTGATGGTGAAGTTGTGCGTGGACCATCATAAACCTAAACAAAAAGGAAAATCAGCAGTTTTTAGACATTATTTCAGGTGTAAAATTACTAAAATATTCGCATCTAACCTCAAGGGACAAGGTGCGATATAACAAAAAGATGTCTTCTTTTTAAGCTTTTGGCTGCCATCTAATGTTATCCTTAGATACGATTATTACGGGGATTATGAATGAAATTCTCCGTAATTATGGAAGTTTATTGCAATTTCGTGACATACATTGCTTAGATACCCAGGAAAATTTATTGTTGGTGGATATAAACTTAATGTCTAAAGGCGAAGTTATGTTTAATTGAATATTCTAGTAAGTAAAATGTGACACAAATACATAAAACTGTGGAAGATATATATAATTCAAATCAGAATATAAAAGCCATAAAATATATGCGTTGTTTTAATATAAAGGAACATTTATATTTTAACTATGTACAGTGCCACTTTTCTATAGGAATTGCAGACAATTCTGCATAAATATCATAAAAAATCAAATCTCCTACAGATAAATGAAATGGCTTGGAGGATTTGAAATTATTTCCACTTTTGATGAATTTTACACTCAATTATGCAATCTCTCAAAGAAAAAAAAAATCACATGAATTTCAAAGACACTTCTTAATATCGTCAAAAGCAGAATATTATCAGCTTTGGATGTGACAGTGAAGATTAGAGTACACGGTCCTAATAATCCATTCCTACCAATTAACCATAGTCAGCACAACTCTTGTTGAAGCTAACCTCCTGCTGGCACGTGCATTAACCCAGATTACCTGTCATTTAGTGTATTACCAAAGTACCTTTATAACTGACGTCTGCAAACTGCGGTACAAGGAGCGGGTTGGCTTTGATGGTGTTTCCACCTTGCGGCAGAATCTGGTCAATTGCATGCTACCTCCTACCTTTTTCTTTGAATGCTACATCCGGCATTCAAGTGTAATTTTTAGAACACAGCTTTATATGGCGAACATACCTGTAATGTACTGACGGACGCCAAATCCCAATCATCAAATATCATCCGGATTCTGCCATACGGGTCCAGGTTGGTTATTATATATGTAAACGTTTCGCCGTTGAGGGCATATCGGTCTGGAAAGTTTGGGGATGATATTTCTCCCTTGTCACCACCAAACATCGTGGAGGAAACCGTTCCCCTGATTTGTTCGACTTTTTCTGTATAATGTATCAAATTTCATAAATTAGGGATAGTCTGGTTAAATTTTCCACGGAAAAGGTACAACCAATTTGAAATTCATTTTAAAAAATCAGATTCATTATATACCATAACCTCTTTTAAACTTACTACACTATCTCAAAAACAATGTGCATAATTTTTATAATATTTTGTGCGTAACAGTCCCATAAATCATCAAAGAACTAAATAAACTTATTGTTTATTGCAAATACGATAAATTGGAAACAGGAATTTCAAAACGTGTCCCCTTCTGAGCAAAATAGTTTCTAGTTAAGCCGATATATTAATTGATACACTACAGTACTGCATTTAAAATAAAATACTAGTAACTGCAAAAATATTTTGTCTACGTACCAGTTACCTCGTATTTGACCCGGAAGCGTTTGCCGGTTATTCCGGTTCCGTTGGAGATACAGTGACGTATTTTGACGTTGGAGGATATAGAAATGTACTCAGCCTCGTTTTCGTCGCTATGGTAATTCTGGAGATTTTTTGTGTGATAAGGCTGATCAACTTCATGGATCTGAAGATGGTCACAACTAAAAAAAAAAAACGACTAAGAGATACAAGTGTGTGGAACGAACATTGGTAATACATGTATTCATTAAAAGATGTCATTTCGAAGTCAATTAATTTGCCAATTTGCGACTTTCAGATTCGACGTGAGCTACATGTAATTTAATCTTCGATAGGAAACTCTGGAAATTTCATTATATTTGTTCGATATATTGATAATTGTTATACCAAATCAATTTTCCTATTGGATGCTAATTTTGGACTTGCATGGACATGTACTAATATACAAATCAAAATAGGCATCACTGTTATTATATAATTATAGACGTTAGAGATTTCTGCAGAACAAACTGATTTTTACCCAGGAATACACAAGTTTCTATGTTTGGATTTCTGGACAGCTGGACAAGGTGGGAAGTTTACATCAATTAGCGTGACCTTTACTCTGCAGGTGCTACAGCCTCTGATCTCGACGTTACAAGAATGCCCGAGGTAAAAGTCCGAGGTGTAGTTATCAGGATATTCGTATGACGTCACATATCCGTAATCTCCTTTCTCCACAGAAAATTTGACTGTTTCGTGATTTTGAAAACATGACGTTGTTCCTGAAAATTCAAAAAGCATACTATTAAAGAACTATGGATATCTTTTAATAAGAATAAAAATTACTTGTATTACTGTTTTACATTAAGTTCTGGACCCTCGTGCCTAATATTGATAACAGATACAAGTTTAAAGTATGAATTTATTTGATGAAGCAAAATCAACAATATCAATTACGATAAATTATATTCTGATGATTTTATTATAGGAGTTCTGACTTCAGGGTGTGTGGTCTACTTAGTACATGTAAATCTGTGTGTTCAAGCATCTGAAGAAGCAAGTTACTTTGAATTAATAAACAAATAAAGATAACAACGTTTTAGCTTGATTGAAGTAAAACAAAATGATGAATTAGAGTTTCACGAACCTCTGTCCTTTCCGACCTGAAGACAGGCCCCTGACATTATTAAAGTGGAAGTTAATAGCCAATCTGGAACATATAAAGTAGATAAAAAAGATTATGAGTGAATTTCTTCTCATTTTTTAAAGCGATACATGGCAACTGACACGACGCCTCCCTGCAAATTGATTTTTCTACCACGGAGTTTAAAGTCATAAAGAAACCTCATTTAAATTTTAATTTAAAAGTTTTACAATTAGGAAGATTCTTTGAAGCTATCACATTTTTTTATTTGACATTTACCACAATTTCATTATTTGTTTATGACAAAAATTTAATTGAAAAACGTCTGTCTTTTTATATATTTGTATACTGAAGAGCGCGTGTGTATTGGGTTTGTGCTTTGATGATTTTTACTGTTTACCCGGTACCATTTTTCCTTCCTTAATACTAGTATAGTGATGAAAGTAATTTACTTCCTAAATATGATTACCACAACAAAGCTTTATTTAAGAGTTGCAAAGTATATACACTAACAACCTGCGCTCGGGAACTGATAGACCTTTCAAAGATATCGAACTAAAACAATATTTATCTTTTTAGAAACATTCCAGAAGAAATGCTAATAACAACATGTCATATTTCAAACATGCGATACGAAACGAAAAGTACACTTAAATTATTTAACTAAAATAAAACGACTGCGAAAACATCACTAAAGCTTGAAGTATTCTTCACTCTGTGTTAGATTATAGTATTTTTAAATTTGTAGACGTTTATTTACACTCAGCCAATTTCTCTCTCCTATAAAAACAAAGATGTTGAAATGTTGATAAGGGGAAAAAATAGCAATCACACTGGGGCAGAAATGCGTTGAAATGAAATATATTGTTCACATATCAAAAGAATTCCAATAGAGCAACATCTTAGAATCCGTGGCCCTTTTTTGAAAATTTCTTTGCATTATTTAAATATTTTACTTTATTATTTAACATTATTTTATACTTGTTTATTCATACAAAAATAGAGCTAATAGTTCAGCAAACCCACTAACCGACATTATTGAATATTTTATATTTTAGCGAATTATAACATATTAAAAGGTTGTAACAGTGTAAAAGTGTATTATTAAAAACAGAAAGAAAATATTTGAACTTTTATTTTGTTTAACGTTAAAAGTTAAAATAATTTATATGATCACACCTAAATAAATATTTTACCACACAAATAATTTAAAACAAAGTACATATTGTTATGTAATCAATAAAGGCTATTAAATAAAATTTATTGAAACAATATACTTACCTATTAAAAATAAGCTTCCTTTTCTACTTAGAAATTCCATCCTATTCTATTGAATGATCAAACTGGGCAACTAAAGCACTGTAACACTTTTGTAGAATGAGGTCTAGTCGCAACAGCTAATTAAGATGCTTTGAATGCATGTCACCAACTTGTCAACTGTGAAAAATAAACACACACATTTCTCAGTTACAGACCGAGTTTTAAGAATTGGTTGCGTACTTTCAAAAAGCTCTCGAACTCAAGTATGAAAAGCAACTTGACGTGAAATATCGTAAATATCCGCGACGGGGAAAAAAGTACTGATCATTCACGCGAGCTGCCCCACGTGATCGGTCAGTTAAACACCCACCACTAATCGCCACTGACATTTTGTAAGATTACAACTTCAAACTTGGAAAAGGTAACCGACAGTGATTGTACCTTTTTTAATGATTTATGAAAACAACAGCTGTTTCTAAGGGAGTTTTTTCTTGCCTACAAAACTGCATGAGACCAAAGACCCGTAGAAACATTCCTTGCATGACATGAGAAATTAAGAAAATAAAATTATCAATCCTCTCTTTTGCTTATTAAGCCAAAGACGCTAAAATAGATCAATTTTACGCCAGCTTCAAACAAGCGTTGAATGACACTCGGTCGACAGACATGGCTATATATCAGTATAGTTAATTTTTGTTGCTTTGTAGATGTATACACCAATGTTAGACAGTTTAGAATTATTGCCAGATTTCAGCGATTTCCCCTCCTCCCTTCAACACCTTAATAACTTCTCCAGAAGGAATAATTCGCTCATTACATGCTTCATCAAAGATATATTACATCGGAAAATCATGTGTTAATTATAATTATTTTATTGTAATGTAGGAAATGTATGGACTTGCAAAATTTGTGAATGAATTTTTTTTTATTAATGTGGCATAACTTGTTAATTATTTCAATGCCAATTTGTCATGAGAAATCACTGCGTTTTCTATATACATACTTAATATATACCGGTATGTACATTGTTCAAAGCAAGCAAGATAAATCTATATATTTGCCATTCCTTGGGTACAGTTTGTTTAATTAATGGCATTGATAATGAAATTTATAAAACAAAATCGATTTCAACTGAAATGAAAGCATTTCAAAATAATGGAATTTACATTCGACATCTAATTACGTACATCTGTAATGATGTAAGACCGTATATGCCGGGACTGTCCTCTCAATTATATGCTCAGGGGGCGAAATAGAGGATTTAAAAAATAGAAAGATAATGATCTGCGAAGTGACCGTCAAATAGGACAAATGTCGGGACGGGGGGACACTACGAGGTGCTCTAATCCCTTTACGCATTGTTATCCCCTTGGCACTTTGTCGCCTTATAAGATGAGCTGGCACAAATTAACCGCAATGCTCTTTACATCTGCTAGAAAAGGTGTATTCCGCCAAAAGTATCGAACAAAAGGTCAACCATTTGAAATAGGAGGGAAAAAAAGAAGGAGGCAAAAAAGTGAAAAGCTCAGTTAATTTCGCACCGCAAGTCTTCTGCTATCTTAAGCATTGTCGAAACAATTTATCACCTAATCCAGTTCCACAACTGAAAGGAATGAGTTTACTCTAAGTGTATATAAAACACTACTCTCTGGGAACGATAACGCTTCCGTTTGTATATACAAACAGCTCTTAAGAGGACAGCGAAGTTTATAGAAACAGAGTCCATCTGATAAGACGTAATCTAAGATAAAAAAGGATATTTCTCAAGGTGCAGCAATTGTATCTATCATATTAAATCATCATGCCCTCAAATAAAAAAAAAAAAGGGTTGGGGAGATATCGAAAAATGTTTTTTTTTTTCGTTTTGGTTTACTAGTATTTAAAACTACGAACTGTTTCAATGGGTTAATCAATGTATGAAGAGCCCTTTTCCAAATTTCTTTTTTTTTTCTAAAAAAAAAATTCAATCAAAGATAATGTTCATAAACACAGTTTGTCATCGACAAAATTTCTGCAAGGTGACTAATACTTGCAGATATTTATTAAGTTATGTTATGCCAAATGAATTAATCTTTTTCCATATTATTTTCTAACATTTTGTTTGGTTTATCGGGAATAATAAAGTGCCTCTTACAGATGAAACAACAGCGACACGTTAAAGTTAATGACTCAAAAGATGAGGCTTATTGTATCATTAACTTTATGGACCCGACTCCCTAACAACGAAAATGCGCTAACAGAATAGAAAATCTTTACGACGCCAATCGCAATATTTGTCAATTTCAAAATAGTCTTTACATCTAAATTTTTTATCAGATAAAAATATTTCAACGTATACATGCATACATTTTTTTTTATTCTGCTAAAAATAAATTACATGTACATGTTCATGTAAGACCTCTTATTTCTGTTTTTTGCTTTTGTGCATTAAAAGTAATTCAAATGAAATCATGGATGGTTTAGATTTCGAAAATAACAAACGTAAGTCCATTTTGTACATTAATTGATCCAAGTCCTTTATATTTGCTCTATTAAATTCATAATCTTACCTTAGAGATGCATGTCCAAGTTAATCAATATAATGAGCCACAGGAGAACTACTTATCTCTCTCACAAAACCTTGATTGACGGAATATTGAACACATGTATATTTATATACCAGAGGCAAAAACCAGCAAGACACGTATATTGGTACACTATAACTCTAACGTCAAATCGAGGTGGCACCTGAAACATCAAACTCTCAATCACTACGCACAAACTGTTAGATCCCGAGTATGAAAACACCCGGATAATCGCGTCTCAAAGGATAATTGACAAATTTTAAGATTATAACATCGTGCTATCTTGTTAATTTTAGCCGAAGACAATTAAATTTGGATGTTTGATTGTTTGCCGGATGTCAGAATGCCCGTCTTAACGACTTGGATGCGCCGTTTCCTTATTTCAGAGTCTACTTGACTATTATTATCATTATCGTTTTTTATATTAACTTCTCGATCCCATTTTTTAAAAGCCTGATTAAGTTGGCTGTAGTTGATTATAAAGTTTTTAAAAACTTGATATATACTTTATAACGTGAGGTACTTGAATAAATCACAGAAACCAATTATTCAAAAGAAAGGAGTTTTCACTTTGTCAGCACAGAGGAATAAATTTTGTAGTGTTTGCCAGGAAAACTTTAATATGACAGCATAAATTTTTCATTCTGCTTTGATTTAAGATGATAATAGAGTAGGATAGATATAACATTCTTGGTTTTGATTCTCTTTATCTCGGATAATGATGTCTGTAAAAAGTGTAGACAAGAGACGAGCAGAACTTTCCAGGAGTGTTCGAATAATTTTATGACTTTCTTTTATTTTCTAAAGTTCGGGATGTTGTTCTTTAAATCATTAAAACAGATTTTTAAAAATTAGATTCAGATATTACATGTATCTGTACATAAATCATGTTATTAATTGATTACAATGGATACATTACAGGTAAACATTAATTTCCATCCAAATGAATGACATATGACAACCTTATCAGCTCCCGTTTTCATAACTGCAGGGCTTAGACATGTTTTCACGCTATTAGTGTGACCATTCGTCGGATTTGACACTTCGATGACGTTTAGCAGCGGTTCTTGTAGAGCCTTAAAAAAAATGAATGAAATTGATTTATTTTTAAGTATATACTTGTTTACATTTCAACGTTTCACCGAAGATGACCTTCAACCAACAACTCAATTATATGCATATTTAATTTGAAAGACAACACGTTTCGCTATGACAAAATATATGACATAAGTTTGGGCTTAACATTGAGTATCATTAACATGGAGTCATCTATTTAGCATAATTAAATCATTAAGTACGTCGGGGATTTTTGATATCAGATACAAAGGCAAATGTAAAGAAAACAGTCATCGGCAATTCATTGAAGGGTTATGCTACTTTTCGTACCAACTACATGTATGTTGGTATTTGGTATTCTTAATCTACAAAATTCCCGTTTGGACAACTCAGGTATTCTGTTAAATGCAGAACTGCTGCTCTCCGAAAAAAAAATAAATTGACAGACTGGAGAGCTACTGAACCACCCACTGAAAAAAGTGTATATTTGTTGCGCACAAAAAAGTGCGCTGTTTCTCGATTTATTTCTCCATGTTTTTAAACTGTCATCTAAAAATATTACTAACCGTGTGTTCCTAACATATTCTTTTACTTTTTTCACAACAAAACTTTCCTTATGACAGTTGTAATTCAAGTTCTCCTGGGCCTGAAATTGAGACTATCGAGAAAAAACAATTCGCGATCGACTATTTTGAGTGGCAAAATAATTTGGTCCAATACTCTTTTTGCATATGTCAACTACAAGAGTAGTTGATAGAGGTCTAAGAAGATGTTTGAAATCATGATTTGTGCAGTTGAGGTAAGATTTTGGGGCAATGAATCCGAATGAGAGCGCAACTTTTTTGCGCGCAATAAATATACAGTTTTTTTCATTAGGTGGCACTGTAACTATCTGATCGTCCATCCCAGTTCTTTCAGACCAGCAAGCTACAGATCTGCAGCTTGTATTCTGTGTATTGTGTTGCACACCTGGACTCTTTTTCTATTTCGACAGCTGTAAAGACCTAGGTCTTGCGCCACAAATCAAGTGTTTTGAGTTGAGATCTCTTAATCCTTTTTAAGCTGAAAAAAAATACTGAAGAATTAAAATAATTTTAAAATTATTTCTTTTTTTATGAGAAAAACTCATTCCTCTTGTTTTTCTTCCATACGTTCCTTTTTTAATTTTTTTTTCAGGTGCAATATACTGCTTAAATTTTAACCCTAGAAATGAAACTTACGCCTACTTGTAGTAATCCAGTAAAATTATTTAAGCAAGCAAATGTGCGAAAACAGTGCCTATAACCATCTTTCAGTACATTCTTCAGTTTTGCTAATACCAGGCAAGTTGACGGCAATCAACAATAAACAAAGACGCGTGCTTGGAGAAATATTTATTTAGATGTGTATGAAGATGATGATTGAAAATAAACTTGAAATAAAGAACAGCGTGTAACCGGCGGGAAGAGACTCATAAGCACTAAGAAAGAAATCCGAACGGAAGTAAAAGAAAATTCCGGTTCCATGTCTGTCAGGAAAGACGCTAACCAGATTCCAGACTGTCCCAATTTACCTAAACACATGCATTTATTTGCTTAAATTTTCAAGTAGAGACACAGGGTCGGTTTTCTAATTAACGTCCAACTTCTTTTCAATTTTAGGGAAAATGACAAAACTGATGTTCAGTCTATTTGCCGTAATTGACCCTGTCAGAACTGAGACAACCTGCTGTAGGTAACACGGCTC